GACCTTGACTCCTCCAGAGACACAGCAGCCAAAGAATCCCTCCCTATGCAGAAGCATGTAGCTATCAAAAGACAAAACTGTGACTTAACTGTTACAGCCTATGAAGTATAAGTTGTACTTGTAAACATGTCACTGGAGAAGAAGAGGTTTTCTGACCTCAGCTGGCATCCCTGTTAAACGTTTCAACCAACTGATTGATATCATACCTTATTGGAACTTAAAGAAGTAACCATAGTAAAGTGCAGAGAACACCAAAGCTAACTCGGAATTAAAAACCCTCTCTATAATGCTATTTAACGTAAGATTAACTCCAAATGTGACAATGAATTTCATACTATATGAGATAAATAGGACGACTATGGGATAATAAGAGAGATGATAAACCATTTGATGACTATGACAAAGAGAACAAGAAAGAAGCAGGTTAAGAGGTAGAAATTTCAATAGAGAAAACAATAGAGGAAGTAGAAGTTTTGACAAAAGTTATGAATCACAGGAGCAAAGAGATAAAGAACAGTACCCTGACCAAGGTCATGAACCACAACATCAGAGAATTGTAGAGCTTTTTTGTCACTAGGTGAAGAGCTGTAGAAAAACGTATCAAGCAGGACTAGAAGAGGGAGAGACAGCAAACGTTATTCGACAGACATAAAGAGAAAGTGTGAACAGAGATGAGACAGAGGAGGAAGAAGTGCTAAACTTGGAGAAGATAAATAAATATATAAAGATATTTTGATAGATAGATAGATAGATAGATAGATAGATAGATAGATAGATAGATAGATAGATAGATATACTTTATTGATCCCAAACTGGGAAATTCTCTTGTTATAGTAGCAAAAAGAAAATATAAAACTAAATTTAAGAAGAAGTACAATGCAGACTAAAAATAATAAAGATACTAAGTATATACGAAGTGTATATAATAAATATAGGCTAAATATACTAAACATCCTAAGAGATAAAAGTGAGATATGAAGAACGTGGACTATTGAAATTAGTAAAAAATATGAAATGAGTAATAAATATGACATGAGTAATAAATATTACAGATGGGATGATATACAGACAATTTAAGGTGCTCGGTAATATGATGTGATAGGAGTTTTTAAGAATGGACTATACAGCAGACAGGCGTGAGTCCCTGTCTGACATATGTGAGTTATTTAACAGTGCAATAACTTGTGGCAGGACAGATTTCCTGTATCAGCGGAGCTGCAACAGTCTGTTGGTGAAGGAATACAGTGTGCAGACATAAAACCGCAGAGATAGTTAATGATTCATGGTTTACCCTTAACCTTTTTGTGTGACTCCGGTGCAAAGAAAACAGTTCTTAGACATAAACTATCGCGGATTAGGGTTTCCAAACAAAAGATTTTTGTCAGATCAACACACAGAGAGAGCTTTAAAGACAGTAATAGCGAGTCATGGGCCTTGCCATGTCTCGACAGGAGGGAGGAGTGTAGTAGTTAACCCTATTGATTCATAAATTATTTTAAAAAAAAATAATAATAATAATAAATAAAAAATAAATAATTTACTATTTGATTTGTTCAGTTTGTTTAAGACATAATGCTCAAGACAGTATAAAACCAAAAAGAGGCAAATTTCCACCAACCAATGCATTATTTGAAGCCATGCACATGGACTTCATAGAATTAAATCAGTGTGAGAGAAAGAAATATTGTTCAGTGTTAATAGATCCTTTCACTAAATGGATAGAATTATTTCCTGTCACCCATCCAGATGCATTAACAGTAGCAAAAATCCTGCGTAGAGAAATAATTTCTTGATTTGGCATTCCAAAACGAATCTACAGTGACAATGGAACTCATTTTGTAAATGAAATAAATAAATAAATAAATAAATAAATAAATAATAATAACTAGAAAATGCAAGTTCTGAAGAAATTGCGAGATGGATTGCTCCAGCTAAAATTGTAATTGCTAAGATGATATTGTAAATGGTTTAAGTTCAAAAATTATGCGAAAGATATGAGATTTGAAGATTCAGAAAGGGTTGAATCAGTTTAAATGAGTTGGAATTAGTTTGAAAAAATTGAATACTGAGTGAAGAATGAAATGATTTAAAATTAAAATGATCATAATCTGAATGTATAGAGGAGTTGAAGGCTTTTAAAGTTGTGTAAAGAAAATGTGAGAAAAGGGCCAATTTAAAAATTCCGTAATGTATTTCTAATAAGAAAAATTGGTTGGAAAACCTGGAATATCCCGGAAAGGAAGAATGTTAGGAAAATTTTGAATATAAGCTGGAATCTCCTGAAGTTTGAATGGTTTTTAATACGTTGAAGTAAGTGGAAGGAATTAAAAAAAAACAAAGGTACTGCTAATGACACCCACAGCAGTAAAAATAGCACAAAGAAGTAGTTGGATACATCTTTCCCATTGCAAAAAAACCTATATGGGTTTTAGTTAGGAAAAGTCTGACTTCAAAGGGGGGCGTCCTTATAGTGGGCGTTCGTCTCAATGTCAGTGAAGATTAGATGGTGTTGAATTCCTTAGGAGCTTAGGAAAATGGGAAAGTTAAGTATCTTACTTCTGCTAAACCTGAAACTGTTAATTTACCTACTGAAACATTATTTACAACTTCAGATGAACTTAAGGAAGGAAAGAGAAGTGACAACAACAATAGTCCTCACATCCTGTGTGACAACCAATCAAAAATCACATTCAGCTGTTCTGAAGGCAACCATGTGCAGAGAGCAAACCTGAGAGACAGTGAGCAGGGGTATGAATCACCCAGACGGACACCACAGTTGCTTCATGTGGTGAAGACACTGAGAACTTTACCATAGCTTAACTGCTACTAGGCGTTTGTGTTATTTTGTTTACAATGGGATTTTGTGTATGCTTGTTTTGTCAATAAACACTTATACTTATGTTTATTAAAGGTACATCACAAAATAAAAAAATAAAATAAAAAAAAATGGTGGAAGAAGAATATTAATAAAGATATGAATAACATATAGTGGAATGCTTAGCAATCCCTCTCAATAAATAATGATTAAGAAAAACTAATTTGAAGTGAACATGTGGTACAGATATGCAAAATATCTAGCAAAAATGAAGAATCAGTCTAACTTCTATGTCTGTACTAGGAATTCCCTAACCATAACAAAAGTGTATGTGTTTTCTGTAGCTGTACCTGAATGACAGCAGACTGATAATAGGGCCTTAGTGACTTTAATCCTAACTGTTGTAACTTTCCAGACCAGTGTGACAAATTTAACCTCTGCAGTTAGTCTTATTCCTTCGTTGAGTCACTCTAGAGTAAAAGAAACTAGCAAACAGAGTCAGACCCGACTTATATAGATAGTTCCTTGTGAGGTACCAGATGAGTATAAACTAGTAAATCAAGTTGCTGCAGGCTTTGAGTCTCTTGTCTGTCCTTGGTGTACAATGAAAAAAATATAGATCAAATCAGAATCAACTACATCCATTTCAACGTTCAAAAGCTAGGTAATTGGACTGAAGCTGGTTTTCAGGCCGTTCACTCGCAGTTATCTGCAACATCCCTGATGGCTTTCCAAAACCGTATAGCCCTTGACATGCTGCTGGCAGAAACAGGAGGTGTATGTGCCATGTTTGGAGAAACATGTCGCACGTTCATTCCTAAAAATAACACTGCTGCTGATGGCAGCCTCACTCGAGCCATAGAGGGCCTAAAAACGCTTCACAGCAAAATGAAAGACCACTCAGGAATAGATAACTCCTTTTGGGATGATTGGATGAATGTATTTGGAAAATACAAAAATCTTGTAGATTCAGTCCTAATCTCTGTTGCTGTTTTTGCAGCTAATTTGACCTTGTGTGGATGTTGTTGTATTTCTGTATTTGTTCTCTTCTTAACCGCCTTATCACCACAGCGTTGTCTCCTGTGGAGCAGCAGATGCAGGAATTGTACCCGCTGCTCCATCAGCAAGACGAGGAGGACAGATTTGATGACACTCAATGGCCTGACCTGTGCCCCAATCCGGATGATGAGTATAATTCTGACTAAAGCAACATCTTGTACCTCCGTGTGTAAATTCTTTGTAGTCATAAACATGAACTCGCAGCTGAAAATCGAGAGAAGTGGCTGAACTAGAGGGATTATGAGAATTTGAGCAAAGTAATGATAAACAGGAGGGAAATGTTAGAATAATGTGCATAAATGTATATAGAAGTTATCATTATTCCTCATATTCTTATGTAAGAGTTGACTACAAGTATAAACTGTTTTGACCTCTTTTTATACATTATATAAGAGTGTTTCCTAACTTCTCTCTCCAATAGATTTACTACACAGCAGAACAATGTTACTTTCAGTTTTCTGTGACTGTCTTTCCTATCAGCAGGTGGGGGTGTGTGAGTGATGGATCCTCCGCAGTAAATCGTGGGGAGTGTTTGAGGAGGTGCCGCTGTTATCAGAAGGAGCTCATTAGATGCCGCCTTGACCTTCACATATTCACAAGTGTTCATTATTATGCTTTATGAGAATGTTTACTTTGCTGCACCATCTACCACCCCTTTTAGAAACATTATGTAACCAGGGACAAGACTAAATAAAAGAGACTGGGCGGAAATACCTTTCAGAGTGGTTTCGACATGGTACCTGAAGCTATCTCGGTCCATTCTCCTCGAGTATATACCATTGTCTTTCTCTTCTTTATATGTTATCAGGTAAATGTTGCAGGTTTTAGACCTAACAGTTGCTTTAAGTGTCATAATTTCAATGTTCTTATTTTCTCATCAAGAACTTGTAACACTCCTGTCACTAAGACCGAGCAGATCTGGACAACAACATCTGAGGGTTAGGGTTTGGTTTATAACATTATTTCAGCCTCCATCTAAACACCTCAATTTAGCTGCTGTCTATTTTTGGCCCCTCACCCTTTATTATGGGCAACCAGTAAGAAGAGCCTATTATGATAATACAGTCATCGAAGTGAGTCTCCAGGAGGCGATAAAAATTTGATGTATTCATTCATTTACTCATAATTCACCTTAGGTTTTACTTTTTTATTGTGGTGACATTCCCATGAGCCTTTGCTTCGTTTAAAGCTGATGAGCAGAAAGCAAGCAAATAAAAAAATAATAATCCGTTTCTCTTGAAAATCAAATATGAACATGACATAAAATTTGTATAAATATGTCAAAACTTTACAGAAATTTAATATTTTCTAATAAACATCAAAACTTTCACAAACCTGTGAAGAAATGAAAATGTACACAGTTATGGAAAACCACCTTCTCACTATGAACACACCTGTACTTACAAAATACTGACACACAACAAGTCAAACCAATTAGTTTACATTAAGACACCGGCGTTCACTTTCAATCCTGTTATCATGCAGGTATTTACTGTTCTCACAGATATTTACAGGTACAACTCTAAACCAACATTCAGCGAGTTCACTCAAAGTATAACAATTACAACTAGCGACAAATAATGGACATTACTTTCATGGAAACAAAAAATAATTCACTATGCTGACAGATGCTTCAGAGAAACAGAAAAAAAAGCAGCAAGGCTAAAAAAAGGTAAATAAAAATATGTTGTTCAATACCTGGCATTCAGACTGAAGCAATCAAACAGGAGCTGTGATCAGGCCCCCTGAAGAGTGATCAGTATTTAACCCCAGGATTATAAATGTCGGCTAGCTAAGCATGATGATCCTCTCTATATTTCTGATTCATTCAGCAGTTTAACTTCAAACTTTTATACAGATATTCAATTTCTTAGGCGTTTCCTGTGTGGATTTACCTGTGTCTCTGTGATCTCATTAGTCAGCTGATGTTTTCCAAAAGCTGCTTTACACAGCAGATAAGTCTCATTATGGTGGTCTGTGTTCCTCCTGCTTTTACTCTCCATACAAGCTGTTTTTTTTCCTACAGACTCCTGATTGGTCGATACTATGAGAACTACAAACACTACTGAAACACAGACCCAGAGTTCAGATCATAGATCATGATATGAAAGCTTCAGTCTAGATGAGGAAAACCCAGGACACAGCTGGGAGAGGGAGGTAGGAAGAGAGGGCAGATCGTGTTACAGATATTTTCAGTCATTTTACCAGGTGTAACCATATGTTACCATGACAACAGGGACACCAGATCAGCTGAGGTGGAGGTTTTTAACACTTTGGTGGTTTTAAACAATAATAGTTAAAAAACACAAACAGTCCGTAAACAGCCAGTAAACAGCACCAGACAGACGTCCAATAGAAACACTCAAAACATTCTGAGTAAACATTAACACGTCACTTTGAACATTTCATTTTTACATCCTTTTTTTTTTAACTAAAGACACAACACTGAACATCAGCCGTCCTAAAGTGTGTTAAGACGAGTCCCAGAGTGTCTCAGGTGAGCTCACCTGGACTCACAGTAGGCATAACAAGAACTACACACTTTATTTCCATCAGTATGCCGTCTCCTTGACCACGCTGGTGGACAGGGTGTGGTTGCTGGAGATGCTGATAGAATGGCGTGTCAGTGGGTGGGCGTGGCCTCTAGGTGAACGCTGGCAGGGCAGACAGATGTATCTGAGCGTGGAGAAGAAGATCTGCCGGTAGTTTGCCGAAACCAGATTGTAAAGGATGGGATTGATGGCTGAGCTGACGTAGAACAGGACGTTCGTCACCATGTAGAAGTAGTGATAAAAGTCGTACAGGTCGCTACAAAGAGAGAGACGGATGGCGTGACACATCACAGTAAAAATAGAAAAATAAACAACGTTATGAATATGTTCCATTCTAACACTGGGGGTGTCCCGATACAATACTCATATTGTAGCCATCAGTATCGACTGATACCGATATTGATATTGGCACAAACTTGTGCATAACAAGTTTTGCACTCAGCTGCAATGTCTTTTTTTGACTTTGCTTGTATCGGAGTGCTGATATTGGAGATTTTAGATGCAGGCTGATGTAATCTGATATTTGTTTTTTGGCTGATATCAGACCAATATCCGAAATCAATATCGTATAGGGACAGCCCTACCTCACACACTTATTATTATGGCAGCAGGAGCTCAGGAGGAAGAGCGGTCGTCCAATGACTGGAGCGTTGGTGGTTTGATTCCCCCCCTACCCTAGTCTGTCCATTGTTTCCTTGGGCAAGACACTTAACCCATCTTGCTCCTAGTGTGTGTCCTCCACTGGTGTATGATTGTGAGTGTTGTGTGATGGTGGCGGTCAGAGGGGCCATGGGCGCAAACTGGCAGTCACATTTCAATCAGTCTGCACCAGGGCAGCTGTGACTACTAAGGTAGTTTACCACCATCACCACGGTGTGACTGTGTGAGCGAATGAATGATTTATCCAATGTAAAGAGCTTTGAGGGTCTCTGATAAAGTGCTATATGAAATCTGATGCATTATTATATTTAACATGTTAGACTCATGGAGCCCTCAGGTGACTGATTACTGATCAAGAAAAAAAGCCTCATGCCAGTTAATGTCAGCAAACATATGTTGATAAAGGTTAATGCAAGTAAATGTCACTTAAGTTCAGTTAAAGTAAGTTAGGAGCGCTCCAAAATCTATAAAACATTTGACGGATAATATTCAGCGTTTTCTAAATCTATCTGGATGTTAGACAGTTACCTATGAAAACCAACAGGGTGCTTTTATGGGCCAAAAACCAACACTGCACCTGGCAGAAACTACAGACCCAGGCCAGGCTGCACACACGTACACACACACACACCCGCTGTGAATGTGTGCGTGTGTGTATGTGTGTGTGTGTGCAGCAGGTAGAAGGGGATGTATTGAACATGACCTTTTCATTAAATGTACTGACAGTTCTCTGCTCTGTATCTGTGATGGAAAAGGGGACGGTCTGTTTACTGGGATCAATGAGACTCTAATGAGAACCAGTGAAGCAGCACACAGTTTTTCACAACAAGCTGGGAACAGGTGCACCATTACTATCTGCTGCTCCACAAAAACGACACGCGATGATGAAGGACAGATCTGCATGTTGTGTATGTGCGTGTGTCTGTGTGTGAACAGTACTCACTCCGACCAGTCAGAGATGTAGCAGAACATGAGGCGGCGAGCGTGATACGGCAGCCAACAAACCACAAAGGCAATGACCACAGCGCCTAAACACACGGGAGAGGGAGGGAGAGAGAGAAGCAGAGAGAGAGAGTTAATGTGTGTGTTGTTTGCTGTTCTTACTGCATTGATGTTAGTGTGTGTCTGTTTGAAGTATTTCTGAGTGTAATAGGTGTGAGTGTGTGTTTGTATGTTAAGTGCATGTCTTTAATAAGTGTTTCTGTGTATAACCATCTTTCACTCACGTAGAACGATCACACCATGGCGGAGAGACTGTGCCCGGTTCGGCTCTACTGTGACATTCAGGACGGTGGGATTCCCTGCAACGATGCAGACACGGTTTTCTTGCTCTGCCTCTCGAAACATCCACAGCAGCTGATTGGCTATCACCCCATTCAGGACAGAAATGGCAACCATGGGAACCACGAAGGACAGGAAGGCGTTGACCTTTTCAGAGAGGACAGGTAAGAGTTTACAGGTGAAACGTTTCAACATCACCCTCTGTGTTTATTCACCTGAGATTCAGCCTCTTGCGAGAGGCCACAGGTAAAACTCAGGTGTGACAAGGCAAGAATGTGGAGTGGGATTGAAGATTGGTTTATTTTAATACTGCACAGCAATCAGGAGGAAAAATGGGTCAGTGGTTTAATCTCCCAACATCTGTTTGTACACTAAACAAAGTAAGATAGATGAGATAAGATAAGAAAAGAAGAACCGGATTTTTTCTCTGAGGGGAAATTCAACTCTGGTTGTAACTAAAAAATATTTTAGTTTAAACTTCTACTTAAACTTTATTTTGGGTTCAGATTTCAATGTTAAACTTTAAACAACAGCCTTAGTTTTAAACCTAACTTTATTTTTTATTGAACTGTAATTGTAAATTCAACTTTGATTAAAACTTTAACTTTGCATTTGATTTAAACTCAAATTTTGATTGAAACTTTTGACTCATAATTGAAACCTCAACTTTGTATTGATTTAAACTCAAAGTTTTAAAACTTTGTTTCAAACATCAAATTTGTTTTGAAACTGAAATGTATTTTCTTCTTCCACTTGATTTTTGAGCTTAAAATTTGCTTTAAACTTGAACTTTATTTTGATCTTCAACTTTTATTCAAACTTGAACTTTGAAACTTTAACTTCATGAATGTGGTATGAACTTATTTGCATCATTTTCTAACTTTCACTTTTCTCTTAACTTCAACTTTTATGTAACTTTAACTTGAGCTTTTAGAAAAACTTTCAGATTTTAATTTTGTCTTTGATTTTAATATCACCTTATATTAATTTCACCTTATCACCACCCTCAGTGGTTAGTTTTATTAACCACCCAGGTTCCAGGGTTTAGGGATTTCAGTGCTTTGTGCTGGACTGAGTCTGTTGGACTCAGGTTCAGGAGCAGCCAGAGGGTAAATGCCTGTTTTTGGTGTTTTCCTTCCACAGCTGAGAACTGTCTGACAGAAATCAGACAGAAATCTCTGTAAGAAAGCTTCTCGCTCTCTTTCTCTCTCTCTCTTTGTCCCCCCACCTGCTGAGGGGTGAGGGTTGAACACAGAGCAAAGAGGTGAGTCTAAAGTTGCCAAGTTAATAAGCAGAAATCAGACTGACAGACAAAAAAAAAAAAAAAAAAGATTGCTGACTTACTCTGATTAGAAATATGTGTTTCACATTCTGAGGCTGTCAGGTGGAAAATCCAGGGGAAAGGTGAAAAAACTTGTAACACACCTGCAGAGTAAAGTCTTCAATTAGAGACCGGGAGAAACTGAGACATAACAGTCTGTTATACCAGCTCTCATTACGGTTTTGGAGGAGAAGTCTATGACTTGATACAATTTAAATACTAATATGCAGTCAAAATTGGACAAAAAGGAGCAGACGTTTTTGAACAATGTCATGGAGTCTATCAGGGCTGCAATCTGTCACCAACACTTTTTAACATCTACATTGACCATCGACTGTAAAGGTGTTAAGTGTCTCTTTTGTGCCAATGGCTTTTTCCTACTTTCACCATTAGAACAAGGACTGTCCACCTTTTGAATATCACACATATCTACAGTGAATCTAGAAAAAACAGTATAAGAAACTCCCTTTCTAAGTTCAACCCCCCCAATACAGATTTGGCTCAAGATTTTCAAAAGTGTTATTAAGCCAATCTTTTTATATGGCAGTGAAGTTTGGGACCCAGTTAGCATGAGAAGCACCGTGACCCAAACCCAGAGGAAAAACTACATCTGGAGTTTAGTACAGAAGTCCGAAGAGTCCCCAGAAATGGTTGCTATGGAAATACTCTCAAATTCACAGGTGATAGAAAAAGACAATAACCAGAAATATGCAAATCAATTAGAGATACAACAAATCCATAAATTAGAGAGCTATAATTTACTGAGCGGACAATTTCAATGGTCTCAGTATTTCACTGTGATAAAAGAACCAATAAGAAGACTGACCCTGACTGAATACAGACTCAGAGAGCAAAAAGTGTCTGTAGAAACTGGTGAAAATCAGAGAGAGAGAGGTTAGAGAGGACTCGGAGAGTCTGGGCTGTCTGAGGAACAGGTGCACACAGAAATTCATTTCTCACTTGTTGCTCCAAATATAAAGAAATACAGAAAGTCTTTACCCTAAATTTGATATTATAAAGCCAGGCTTTTCTGCTGTCTCCAAAGACAAACAGATCCAGTCTTCTGGATTAAAAGAGCCCGACAGGAGAACTAGCTGGACGGGATGTTACTGCATGCCACAGAGCTAGACAGGTGTTGGAGTAAGATCTTTAAGTGTGTTTGGTTCTTGTTCAGCCTTCTGGGGTTTACTTCATTATTAAGAGGTCTGTGTGGTATTGATTTGTGACCTTGTGTCGCTCTTTTTTCCTAATGACAAAATTAAAACCTTCTGAGAAGTGTGGCGTGTGTTTCTATTTGTCTGCTAATCCAGCAAACATTAAAAGCCTGAAGTTCATTAAAAAACATGCAAAAGTTAACCAGAGTCACTGCTGTGTTACACCCATACATGAGTCTGTGCGGTTTAACAATCTGAAGGACACACACACACACACACACACACACACACACACACACAGACAACTCAGTTTTTACAACCTGAACATTTCTATACAACCTCTCCATCGTTATATAACCTCTGTTGTTTCTCTCTGTGTGTCCAAGAACACTTTCAATTACTGCTGTAGCCAAATACACACACACACACACACACACAAACACACACACAAACACACACACGCAGAATGAATTACTGGCCCTGCTGCCGACTTGTTCAACTCTCAACCTAAATGGATTTCCTCCTTCAGTTGGTGAGTCACACTGATCTCAGAGCAGCTGTAGACTCTGTTTGTCTCACTGTGTGACTTTATTTTCTTCATACTTCATAAACCATGAACGACACAAACTGCTCTGTATTTGTGTAGCAATAGCCAACACTATTTCCACAAGAATCCCACCTAAATATTTATAGATAATAACACTTTTAGGAGCAGTGATCCGCATGTCTCTCTAGATGTGATATTAAGCAAAAAACACTGCATTATCTGTGGGTGTAGATCTCGAGTTGTGGAGGACAGATGTGTAAAAACAGCTGCAATATTAAGTTTTACAGTTTCATGTTCATGTGACAAGCAGGCATAACTCTAATCCATCTGTATACTACTTCCTGTCACTCTCTGCATAAACAGTGTGATCTGTAGGGAAAACTGTAGCTGTTTCAGTGGACATCCGGATCTAGCCTAATATGTGATCAATGCCCCAACATGCTGTAGGAAAACTAGGAGAGGAGAACAACCCACAGAGTTAAGTAATGCCGCACCATCATGAGATATAAAGTCGATCTGTGTGTAAATGACCGGATCTTTTAGTCTGTTCTCTGTGATGAGAGGCTCCAGTCTGCTCTGTCGTCATTTTAGCTATAGCTATAACAACTTCAACACCAGGAAAATCAGGCTTCAGATTGGCTAATCAATCAAAGCCTTTTTCCCTGACATCCCCTCAGTCTGTGACAGTCTGCCGTAAGGAGGGCTTTCTCTCCCTTCGTCTGTTATAGTACATTTCTATGGCTAGCTGCTAAACCTGCAATAAGCCACAGGTTGGAAAGTGAGCTCATAAAAGTACAAAAGCACACGCAGGCACCTTGGCAAATACGATGCAGTAGGCGGGATATTAGCATTGGTCATGTCCTCGTGATTATGAGAAACTTCTCTGTCTGCATGTTAACATCATATCCTGAATATGATCAAAACCAGGATAAGGATCAAAGCTGGGAAACTCAAGTCCATATAAACACATTGAATATTATATTCCGATGACATAGGTATATTCTGCTGTTTGAGGTCACAGAGTGGTTTTAAATCTTTGGTTTCCATGGCAACCAAACAACAGACTGTTTCACGGCCCTCTTAATGATCGATTAAAAGTGTTTTCATGACACCAATAACACTTTTTAGATCTCTCCCTCTGTGTGTGTGTGTGTGTACGTCTGCTCTTCATCTCTCGGCTCCATGGCTTTAATCTCACAGCAGATCAGTCTCTCCACAACACATCCACATCCAAATATTTATACAGCCACACAGTTTATGCAGAGGACAAACACACTTACACACACACTTCATTTAGTACTGCATGTTATTTTTATTTAATATTTACCAAATTATAATTATCATTATTAGTACTACTGCAACTACTAAACTGACTTTTGGGCGGTCTTAATCTTCAGCTCTTTCCTGTTTTTAAATCTAAACTCAAGTATATTTCCACAAAGATCTGCTCTGATTGATGACACGGAGCTGAGAAACTTTTAGGTCATTTTTAGTGCTGAATCTCATCAGTGTGATTTACTGAGTGAGTAATACCTTCAGATGGAGCACATTTATGTCCTCCGGCAATGTGGACAAGAATTTCTGAATAAATTTGGAGAGACAGACTTTTCTGCTCATTCAGTATGCAGCAGGTGTATACAGAATGAAATGTCAATGCAGATATATGTGCAAATACATATATATATATATATATAAATATATATATATGTAGAACGTGCAGACCGATATAATAAATGGTAGTGGTGTAAAAATTTGCAATCAAAATTTGTAATCAAATACCAACTTCTGTTTGAGTGTTTTAAATGTAAAGACTTTTAAGAGAATGAGGGTAATATGATAGGAGCAGTAAATCACATGTTCATTTTGGATTTGGTTACAGCGCCCCCTGTAAAAAAAAAAAATGCACCAGCTCTCAGTGGTTGGATGTAAACTTAAAGGTCTGTATGTTTAAAATAAACCCAGACAGACATTACACGGCTGTTTAACAGAGAGATCAGACAGACTCAGTTTCATCAGATAACAACTAGTCTTACAGGAACAGACCTGTTAGTTTAAACTCTGACCTGTTTATTTTAGGCAGACAGAATATTTAAGTTCAGTAGTTAGTGATGAATGATTTTGTTTGTTTTAGATGTCTGAGCCCTTAAAGTTAAAATCTAAAAATACATCAGTCACTTTGTTTCAAACTAACCCATCTTCATGTCAGAGCACTCGGTAGAAAACAGACTCTTTTTAAGAATCTGCACAGAGCTCTGAATGTACAGATGACTGTGAAGAAAGCAAAAATACATCAACACAGAGTAAAATTACCTGCAAAAATCAGCAAAGACAGATATGTGAAAGCAGAATGAAAAATGTGAAATCATTGAGATGCATGTGACGACAAAAAATGAGTAATAAATAAGGAGGCATTGAGATAAACTCCAAATCAAATAAATGATAAAAAAAAAAGATGGAACAAAACAGACTCATTTCAAAACACAGACATATGTGAAAGCACAGATAAATGTGCAAAACAGACACGTTTGTTAAATGTGAATCCAGGCTCATTAGAAAATCAGACACGTGAAAGCACAGGCTTGTGCAAAAACAGAATTACATGTGAAACAACACAGATAAATGTTAAAAGAAAAGGATATATTTAAACACAGACAGGTCTATAAATATCAATGTGAGGAAAAAACATCTGAAAACAGACGCGAGTAAACACTGATAAATGTGAAAAAATGGACTAGTAAAAAAAAACACAGTCACATGAAAACATAAAAACTTGTGAAAACAGGCTTTACATGCATCCAAACACGTCAAAACAAACACATAAAATAGAGATAGAGGTTCAAAGAGTCATATCTGAAAACATGGATAACTGAAAAGACCACATGTGAAAACAGAGAACAAATTAAAACAAATAAATATAATAAACCATCAAGTGATAACAGGAAATTGGAAAAACAATAGTGACACATGAAAACGTAACAATACATGTGAATCAACAAGCTAGAACAGATAATTAACACAAAGATGTGTTTGTAAGAAACAAAAAGGTACAAGTCACAACACATAAAAAACGTGTGCAAACACAGGGTCGTAGAACAAACAGAGATACAAGTAAAAACACAGAAGTAAAAGTGAAACATTAAAGTACAAATGAGTTGAAATCTATGTAAAAGCACAGGGAAACACATGAAGCATGCAGGTTCAGGTAAAAAACACAGAGATTCACGCAAATATGAAGGTATCCTAGAAATATTATTGATCTGAATACTGCTAGGCTTTTTAACCTCGCCCCCCCAAAAAAACAGCAAAACATCACTTATCTGTTGAAGTTGAAAGAACATGAGGAGAAGGGGACACCTGTATTAGTAAGAAGGTTGTAGACATTTACACTGAAATGAGTGAGACTCATTAATCAGTGCACAAGGGTGGCATGGATCAGTATCACAGTCTCTCACAAGCTGGTGAGGACTCAGAGAGATCTACACATACTGAGTTAGAGGAGGAAGAGGAGGGCTCTGCTGACTGATGGACATCTGCTACAGATGGAAAGGAATGTTGGCACAACACTGAAAACATGTGTCCTCTGCCACTGAGTCAGTCATGTTCCCATCATGTCTCTGTGGTGCTGACTGCTGCACAGCACTTCTTGTAAAACAAGTACATTATATGATGAAAGAAAGCATTGCATAACAAACAGTGTTGGGTAGTAATGCATTGTTAGTGACGTCGTTATGTAATGCCGTTACTTTATTCAGTAACTACAAATGTAATGCGTTTTTTTTAAAGTCAGTAACTCAGTTTCCGTTACCAAATGCTGGGTTACTCCTTTCCTTTTGGTGAGGTTTTACAACGGCACACGGTTCCCATGACATTTTGGTGATCAATAAAGGGTAACTGAATTGGAAAAACAAAGCACTTGTCACCCTCTGGCGTCACACACGTAATCAAACATGCGCCATGAAGAGGACTGGACAGGTCAGGGAACGGCATGATGGCGAGCGAGAAGGGGAAGATAAGTTTCTTCTCATGAAAATACATTATATTTCAGGTCAAGAGCAAAGGGAAAAACAACATTTCGGTAACGTCTAAACTGTGTCCCGGGTCAAAAATCCTTCCTTCGTTAAACAACAGCAACGGCAATCTACTGAAGCACCTAGAGAGGCGACATGCTTTGACAAAGTTAGTGGCTAAGGTAACGCAGCATCTGCGACCAAGAGTCACAGCAGCGAGCACACACCCACTCCACCCAAGCAGCAGCAGTTGGAGTTCAAAAGACGGACCCATAGCCAGGCACAACTTGATAAAACAATAGCACGGTATGTCTAATTGTTTATTTGGATCTCTTTTAGCACTATCAGACTATTACTCCAAGAGTCCAATGGTAAAATTTTGGTGTCGGGGTCAAGGTTTGTGTTGTTGCACAATAGTGATGGGCACGGCAGTTCTTTTAGATGTACTGAATCACTAGAATCAGTTCACTAAAAAGATTCGTTCACCAAATCACCCTGAATCGTGTAGCGCTTGGCGGGTGAAGCCTGTGACTCCGACCTTCTGAACTGATCCAGCTGAATGTTTCAGGATTCAGTTCAATTCATAGCTTCTGGGACCGGGAGACGAGAGTGTTTGGTTGTGTTGCTGTGGCAAACAGATTTGTAAAAATGAACTTGTTTCTAAGTCATGATGTTTTAAGTTTACTGTCCTATGGTGTGCTATTTATCAGGTCTGCTTGGTAAATTGGGCTCAGTGAGTGATTCGTTCACTGAACGTTTAAAAGAATTCAAACTGAACATGCACCGCTCCCTCGCAAACTGCTGTAATGATAGGATGCTGCAGATTTAATGCACTACTTGTTACATGCTGTGTCCTATTGTATGCAAGTTGTTGTGGTGGTAATTTAGCAGTTAAAATAAATAAATAAATTAACAGTTTTGTCTGACAGAAATGATTCCGGAAAGTGTAGTTCAATGCGGGAGTCGTTCACCAAGTGATTCAGGTGTTGGTGCATGTGGTCCCTCTTCTCTGGCTGCTCGACTGGCAATGCTGTTTCTCACTTCACTTCAATCACTCGAGGAAGGGATTTGGTTCAGTACGTTTACCTAAAAGATTCGGTTCTTTTGAACGAATCGTTCATGAACGACACAACACTAGTGCGCAACAGATCATATTGCGTGGATGATTAGATTCAGTGATGTGGATGCAAATGAATTGAAACAGTTGTTTTAATCAACAGTTTGTTCATTCAGCATCAGTACGAAACTGAAAAGACAGCTAGAGGGGGAACTCAGTCGATCCATCTTTATGTATTAGGAGCATTGGAAGAATGTTAAACAGTAACTGAATAATGACTTTCTCAGTAACACATTACTTTTTGGTTTCAATAACTGAGTTACTAACTGAGTTACTATTTTTACAAAGTAACTGTAACTAGTTACTATTTTTTAGTAACTAGCACAACACTGATAACAAAGGAGCTCGTACTCACACCTGTTTCAGTCGGCAGTAGAGAGAGTGCAGGACAGCGGGGGACAGGGGGGTGTATTTTAACATGGGCTGAGTGTAAGAGCATCCTCACAGTAACAAATCACAAAAACTCACAATGTGCAGCAGGTGACATTGAAGTACAGGACAGAGCTTCTTAGTCTGTCAAACAAGGCAGAAAAATCCTCCTCCCCATCATCTTCATCAGTCACACTTACACACTCGAGAAATTCAGGCTCTGGAGTACTAATGCATTTATCCAGCGATCCATTCATCATATTCATGGATTCATTCATCAATCTGTTCCTTTGTTCAGCAACATTATTTCGGCATGTATGTGTTGTATTGTGTCATTCGTGTGTAGTGCACCCTTCAGGGGGCGCTGTGTGCTCCTCCTGGACCTGACCTCCTCCCTCCTCCATCACTGCTCCCCCCCTCACATTGAGTCATGCTGTCCAAACAGGCAGAGTGTTCCTCCACAGCAGCAAGAGACTCATTACATATATATATATATACACATACACACACACACACACTTCAGATGTTATGGGAGCAGTTTTCATGGTTGCCCTTTCAGCCGACGTCATGTCGTCCCCAGACTCTGTGTGTTATTTTTTCCACTCGATGTAAAGAGCAGAACAATAAATACATCAGACTGATTCTCTGAGTTTCTATAGGCCCAGAGGCTGCTGGGAAAATACTTCTGCAATCACACACACACATTTCAAATACTTCTGCAATCACATATACACACACATTATGTTTCTGCAGTAACACAATGTTACAGTACCTCTTACCAGACCCTTTTTCCTCAAAGTGATGTATGTTTGAGAGAAAATACAACGCAAGCAAAGACTCGACCGAAGGAATCAACATCCTTCACCCTTAAATGCCCTTTGTATCATATTTAATACATACTTTTATATACTTCTATCAAATCAATATGAGCAACAAATTACTTAAAAAAACACCTGAACACAGTCTGATAAATGATAAAAATGTCCTCTTAGAGTTTATTAGTTTCTGAAAACACCGAATGTATCAAATGAGATAAATAAAAATAGATTTGTTTAATTTTAAGGAAATTTTGATTTTTGGGGTTTTCAGTAGTGAGTGAAATAAATATTTCAGCTCCAAAAAATTAGAATTTTCTGGCCATAATTTGTGGTGGTGGGCATTAAAGGGCTACAGCCAAAAACTGTGTAACTGGGCAGAGTACTGCAGAGTGACATGCTGTAAATGAGGCAATATCACACACATTTATAATGTATCTTTGCTGACTCCAGCTCCCTATCATTTCACCTGATCTCTTTTTGTTTTGGCAATTTTTTAACATAAACTTTAATGATTGACACCAGAAATCCATCTGACTGTGTTTGTTCCACCTCTGCTGAAGTATTTGAAACACCTGTTTACTATGATTTTTTAAATGTATTTATAGTATTAACTAGATTATAGTTAAGTGTTTGAACAAAAACATATTTTTTTGAATTATTACGATAATAATAACATTATTAATAAAATTGCAATAATAAAAACAACAACAATACTACTAACAATACTAATATTATTATTACTACAATAATATCCTTTTTACTCCTTAAGTTCTCTGGTTCACTTTTTAAGCACCAATAGAAAAACTTACGTGAGTCAAAGTGCACAAAGATTTATGGCTAGCAGCTGAAATTATGAAAAAAATCACAAAAGCTATGTCCACGCCTGTTTTTTCGTGGACAAACACAGGTGTTGAATCACACCTGTTCACACCTGTATCACCTGTCTGGGTTATTTTATTATTTCCGTGATGTTTCAAAATCCACCAATCAAAATCAAGATATTCTAAAACTGATTTTAAAGTTTTTAAAAGTTTTTTTCTTTTCTTTTTTTTCCAGTAGATCTTCACATTTCACACACACACATACACACAGGCTCTCTCTCGCTCACCCACCTGTAGCACGGCCTTGACGGTTCCCGTGTTGACGGTGGCGGTGCAGATGTCCTCACCTCTCCGCCTCACCTGGCCCATAATGAAGAGCATAGGCGTGGCCAGCGCGAAGGACGCGAGCCACATAGCGCTGATGAGCTTCTTAGTGCGGCTGCGTGACATGATGCTCTTGGCTTTGAAAGGGTGGCAGATGGCCAGGTAGCGCTCCACGCTCAGGCTCGCGATGTTGAGCGCTGTGGCGTAAGAGCAGCTGTCCCGCAGGAAGTAGTAGCCGCGGCAGACCGTGTCCCCGAACAGCCAGGGGTGATGGAACCAGATGAAGTTGTAGAGCTCGATGGGCATGGACAGCACCAGGATCAACAAGTCGGACACCGCCAGGCTGGCCAGGTGGTAGTGCACTGTGCTCTGCAGGTTCTGCAGGGTCTTCCTGCTCAGCAGCGTGAACAGCGTGATGGAGTTCCCCACTGAGCCCACGGCGAACAGAAACACGTAGACCACCGTCACCACCACGCGCGAGTACACGTCCGTGTTCACCTCCAGGTCCTCCTCCTCTTCCCAACCGGCGCTACCGTTGGCACACGAGGACCCGTTCAAGAGCTGCGCATACTGCCCCGCGAGCGACAGGTTTACATCCATCCTCACAGAGCACGCGCGTGGGAGCGTGCGTTGGAAAGAGAAGACAGTGTCTGAGTATGTTGGGGGGTGTCAGAGCGCAAAGACACACAGAGGAGCGGTTCAAGAGTGCGTGAGCTCTCTGCGCGGTGAGGTCGTGACTCTCTCGGCTCTCTGTCTCAGTGGGTCCCTGTCTCAGTGTCTTTCTCTGTCTCTCAGTGTCTCCTCAGTTTCTTAGTGTCTCTCAGAGTGAGGCTGAGGGTGGAGAGCAGCTCCTTTATATTTGGTTCAGCGCGGCGCGCTCCTCATTGGAGGCTCTGCAGTGACGCAAAACCACAGAGAGGACAGACTTCAAAGAGTCCGACCAGGTTCACCCTGGAAACCAACAAATAAATAAATAAGTAAAAAGAAATAAGAAAAGGAACGGAAGAGAAAGAGAGAGAGAAACAAAAAGAACCAAAAATAAGTTAAAAAAAAAAAAAAGCTGCAGGATGAGCTCAGAGGGATTCAATGTGAGAGACAATCACTGAGCTGATAATGAGAGACAGAGACACAATGTGTTCATGTGAGGGACATTATCTGTCTCACACACACTCACACAGCCTGCCTGTATGACAGTATGGTTCTGTGTGAGAAATTTTATCAGTTTAATTAATAATCTGCCTGAAGAGAAAAATCCACAACACTTCATCACTGCTCACTCTTTATCAGAGCTATATTTGTGTGTGTGCGCATGTTTTTCTGTGTGCATGTGTGTGTGTCTGTGGGCATTTTTGTGTGTGTCAGTGATTTATCATTGTCAACCTGTTGCTGATCTTCAGTCTGAGGGGAAAAGGAAGTGTCAGCTGTGTTTTGGAGAGTCCTAAGTCTCTCTCTCTCTCTCTCTCTCTCTCTCTCTCTCTCTCTCTCTCTCTCTCCCTCTCTCACACACACACACAGGGAAGAGGATGAGATAAGGAAAAAGCTTTAAAGACATCCTGTCTAACAGTAAACATCATTTGTAAGGTGGTATGTTTCTAATAGCATAGTGTGTGTGTGTGTGTGTGTGTGTGTGTGTGTGTGTGTGTGTGTGTGTGTGTGTGTGTGTGTGTGTGTGTGTGTGTGTGTGTGTGTGTGTGTGTGTGTGTGTCTCAACCAGCTGTTTTCAGTCTAAATTAATAATCAGCTGTGATGTTAAGCCAAAAACACACAGGATCCGTGATGGGCGTCACCGTTGCGTCCCAGCTCCGTCAGGCAGCACGCGTCATCGCCGATTGGAGAGTAGCAGTTGCTTAGAGCAGTATATAGAAAACAGCAAAGCCTACTTACTACGGGTCATTTTGCCTTTCTTTGGTTGATTTCCTGCTAATTTGGATACCAATCTGTGACTGTTGTGCTTCCTGTATGTAAAAAGCGACGTGATTTTAAAATTTGGACTTCTGCAGGTTTACTCTTCCACTTTGCTGTGCTGTTACCTTCAGACAGAATTAGCTGCCAAAAGTCCTGTTGTAGTCCACATGGATCGGGGAAGGGCCATGGGGCTATTCTGTGTTAATGATTAATCCATAACCAGGAAGTATATCTCATCTACACAATCTAATAAACAGTCGGGAGTCCGCATATGGTGATTTATTTTGAAATATCCTGCTTGTGCTTGACTTTCTGTCTGGTGTTATCTGCTCTGTTGAAGTTAATGGAAGTTGGAAGTGTAGAGTTTTAAAAGTAGACTCAGTGCATATCTTGAGCAGAGCAGCATGATCTTAATGTTTCTGGCACGGAGCAGAAACACATAATGTATGTGATGCTGCATTAATTAGAATGGATACATATTTGCTGCATAGCACAAGATGCTGACAGAACACACTCAACATGCATCCTGTGGGTTTTGGGCTTAGGTCTGATTGCTGCGTTCTCTGTGGATGTGTTTGTATTCAGGTTTTACCGTCAGGTTGCTCTTTGTTTTACATCACTTTTTTATCAAAATTAATAGTTTTCTTGTTTTAAAAGTATGGTCATAATGCAACAGAGCATTCATGTCTGTGATTGGTCAGTTGTTGGGGACTCCGCCCTCTTCATGAGATGATCAGCTTAATCAGACAGTTTACAGTCAGTGTGTTTACATGCACAACTTAATCAGACTAAGCTCATAATTCATTTTTTTGCCGAATCGGACATCTCTCCTTGCAGCTGATAAAATCGAATTATTGACGTGATCGTGTCCTAGGGGGGATATGGGTCTTTTCAGCAGTGCTGTTTCCGGTTGACCCCATACAACTGTCAACAACAACAGCAGGTCCGTGCCAGACGTCAGAAGTGGTTACAACTGCTGTTGGGTATTTTCGAGAAGATGGAGCATCGTACAGCATTGTTTTTGTCATACATGATGTACGCGCCACTTCTTCTTCTCTGCCACTTCTTCTCTGGTGTTTTTGTTTCGGGGTTACGGGGCATGGTGCACACACGCATTGTCCATTCATACTCTGATTGCGCTGGTTACATGGTAAAGAAAATCGAATTCCAGTCGCATTATCTGGGTGTCTTGATCGGAGTTCTCAAACTCCGACTATAGTTGGACTAATGTGTTTACATGAGTTTACATCAGTTGTCTGGTCTTAATCGGAGTAAGGCAACAATTCAGTCTTCTTGAGAGTGAGAAGGACACATTTACCAAAACATAGCTCATGTCCACCTGACCGTTCTTGGACCCAGCTTGGACAAATCTGCTCCTGGTTTGCTGGCATGTGCACACAGACATCGGGGGGCTGAAGGAATCTGGTCCTGGTTTGCTGTCTGAAGCTAAAGTCCTTACCGCCTCCTCATCTAGTTTTATGTTTGCCAGGCTGGTCCTGTTCTGGGATATGTGTCCATTCTTCATCCTCACGCCCGGTTATACCCGAGCATGTGTACTTTCATAGACACGGTCGGAGAGATGGTCTGATTCAGAACATCAGGCAGAAGCTGGATCATTCCTTTCCTATATTTTCACTTCGGCTGAATTGCCTCCTTTATGGGAGGAAAAGTCAGTCTGGATTTGATCCATTTTGCAGTCTACAGTTGTCCTGCGTGCTCATGTACCAGTGAACTCTACAAGTAATGTCATGGGAGGATTCAGTTGAATGTGCATGACAGAGCTATTGTGTCCCAGCCACTGACAAAAATAGTCTCATAGCACCATGGCAACTCAAATAATGTCTCGACATCTAACTATCAAGTCGGGTTTGAAATGAGTTAGACATTGAATAAAATAGGTAAAAACAAAAACAACATCAAATCTTAACAATTGGATGGAAGGGAGTTGAGGCTCAAAACTAAAGGTGATAGATCTTTTTCCATCAGAGCTCCTCGACCTTGGAACGACTTGCCAGAGGAGATTAGGCGTGTAGAGACAGTCGCTTCTTTTAAGTCAAATTTAAAAACTCACTTTTACAGACTTGCTTTTATGTGATGCCTTCTTTTACCTTTTTTCTCATTTTTCTTTTATCTCTTTTACCTCTACCATCTTATTTCGACTTACTATCCTTTTAGCCTTTGTTTTACCTATAATCTTTTCTTATTCTACCTTTTAGGTCTTTTATTGATTTTAATGTTTTTTCCTGTTCATTTTTATTATTCCATTTTATCATTAATATTACCATCAATATTATTTTATTATGATTGTATTATCATTATTAATATCCTCTTTTATACTTACTATCCTGTTTCCTGCTTTCTGCCCCCCTTTTCTATTTCATTCTTCTTCTTACCTATTTTATGTTTTTATTTTGGTCCTCATGGTCTCATTTTGTGTTGTAGGGTTCTTGTATTGCCTGGGTTTCTTATGAAAAGTGAAATTGGCCTTGTTTTTAACTGAGCTTTTGTTAATATTTGTTTTTATTTTCATGTGCTGATGTTCTGTGCTTGCAACTGTTGTCAAAGCACTTTGTAAATTTCTGTTTTGAAAAGTGCTATATAAATAAAGTTATTATTATTATTTAAAAAAATTAATTATCTATAAAGTTCAGGTTTGTATGTACTTGAAGGAAAGTTATAAGAGTTGAAAAACTTGATTTTAAATCAGTCAAAATCAAGTTACATCTATAATAAGCTGTTGTGTTCCATTTTTGAGTTGTATGTAAAATTCATAATGCTTTCCAAGTCCCACTTTTTGTTGCCCTGTACTTTGTTCACTATACAACATCTGCATCTCTTTCACTGTTACTATTTCAGCAGTTCAGCCTGAGAGCTGGTATCGAGGAAGAGGGTCTCTATTGGAAGGGACTTACAGTAAAGATGAGACTTGTTAGAGAAGTCGTGCTGAACATTAACTCCAGAGATGGTCATAAGGATTACATGCTTGTTGCCTATTAACGGACTGCTGTGTATCATTGTTTAAATTAACCATCATCATGAGATTGCTTTAAACATAAATTTCGAGGTTTCTCCAACAGACCTGGTCCTGGGTTTGGACCAGGAGACTATCAGTGAGGTTGTCTTTTTTTTTTTGTTTTGCTTTTTGTTTTTTTCTGTTTTTGTTCTCACCTGACAGAAAAAGAAAAATGTTTGTGCGTCTCAGGATCTGATATCTAATCTGAATTCCTGGTTCAGTCATTTCCTGAGCAGCTTAAAGAAAACACGCCCTGCAGCCGGAGTCTAATGTTCACATGAGAGGAAACATTCATGTCCAGCTTACATGGGAGGAAACATAGTGTACATGGGAGGGGAAATCCAGCATGAAGGAAACTAAATGAACCAAAGACAAATACAGAGCATTCTGAAACACTTTCCTGTGTGACACAAAACTAACACAGGCAAAAACAAAACAAAAAAAAGTGTTTTGGGGGGTAAGGAGTTGTCAGTCATCTAAAGCTGGTGATGAAGAGCTGATGATGTTCCTCTGGATCGCTGCTGCAGACGTCCTGCTGCTGTGAATCTGTCTGCTGTCCAGCTGCTTCAACTACAATCTCTCCTCTGTCCATCACTCTCTTTCTCCATCTCCCTCTCTCTCCTCTCTAATCCCAGCTCAGTCAACATGAGTCTGTTTCTGCTCAAGGTTTCTGCCTGTTAAAGGAAGTTCTTCCTCTCCACTGTAACTAGATAAATGCTCTAAAGTGTTAAAGACAGGGTGGGAGTGGGTCTTATCTTACAGGATGGGGCTCAGTCTGACCCCATCTTTACATCAGCTCTGTGTAAATAGAGGGTAATTATTTTTTTGTCAAGCATCTGCAGATAACACCTGTGAATTGGTATTATGTAAATAAAGATTGATCGGGTGATTGAGGATGAAAAACAAGTGATTTTGAGAACCAAATGGA